CTGATTCCCCTCGCTCTCCCCAGTGCAAATGAGGAGTGACTGCTGGAGTCACTCCCAGGCAAAGCCAGTGTCAGAGCGAGGACAGGGAGATTCGGAGTTGACACTGGATTGGAATTACACTGATCCACAGTGCGCTGGCTGCCAGATCCCTTCATACCGCTGTCTGCAAATTGCTTTTGCCCCTCGCTGCCGTGGGCACTGAGCTCCAGCCCAGGGCTTGTGCTTTTCTGATGATTGTATTTTACTTTGCTCAATAAAGAAAAAATATTTGCTGTAATTCCCCAGAATCCTGAGTCGTGACTCAGTTTCTCCATCCAGATCCCTGGGAATCCGGAGCCTGCTGAGACCTTTCCTCAGTTTAACCCTTGCGCTGCTGCAGACATGTATACTGTGACGGAGTCCCCCGGGCACAACCTGGAAGTGGGGTACCACTTTGCCCTCTTCACTCTCCAGCCTGGGCCGTCTCTCACAATGCAATGCTAGTGACAAGCAGCAAACCCCTCCAGGCGCTGCGATCACTCAGCCGTCAGCATGTGGAGCCCCACGCCCAGCTAGATTGCATAAATGCTCCCTGGGCCACTCACAAATCACACAGAGAAAGGCACCAGCCAATTCCCCCAGCTCCCAGCCTTGCACCCAGAGCTGGACCGTCTTGTCCTGGTCAGAAGCCCGACCAGTGTAAATTTTTAACCCAGTCTACCCCACCCTTGATGTGGAGAGGACATGAACTAGCCATTGTAACCTGAGCTGAGATTTCCCGAGCACTTCCCGCAAAACACACTGTTTTAGGTAAAATATCAAAGGGTACGTCTATACTTACCTCCGGGTTCGGCGATAAGCAATCGATCTTCTGGGATCGATTTATTGCGTCTTGTCTAGATGCGATAAATCGATCCCGGAAGTGCTCGCCGTCGATGCCGGTACGCCTGCTCCGTGAGAGGAGTACGCGGAGTCGACGGGGGAGCCTGCCTGCCGCGTGTGGACCCGCGGTAAGTACCTTGTAGTTCGAACTAAGATACTTCGACTTCAGCTACTGCGTATCTTAGTTCGAACTGGAGGGTTAGTGTGGACCAGCCCAAACAGATTAATGAACGCCAGAAAGACGTTAAGTGATTATAAGCTGTAGGCACAAAAGGTCAGCGATAGTTACCAGAGAAAATAAAAGGTAAGTGCACAGTCTAAATCTTAAACCTTAGTACACTGGGCAGTATTTCGATCAAGTGATTTTCTCACCCCCGTGCATTGCAATGTTTGCAGTGTGGAGATGCTAACAGGGCTGGTGAGGGAAACCTCAGCCACGATCTAGTTCCCAAAAGCTTGACGGCTTTATTACGTCGGTGCTACGGTGCTGTTAACCATGTGAGAGAAGACTGCGGTGTCTCTCTCCTCTCCCCACCACCCCAACATATAGGCCCCCGCAATATTTCCAGCTCCCCTTCCCATTCAACCATCAGCATTTTACACTCCAGTGCTCAGCAAATCACAGGTAGAGTCTGTGAACTTGAAGCCAAGTTGTTTGTGGCTGGATCTCGGGGTGTCTGTGTCTGAGCAGCACCTGGTGCGACGGGAGCCCCAATCTCAGTGTCCTTGAGTCGATGTCCCCGGCAGGCTGTGGGGTTGGGGCAGATGGTTACTGTACAGAGACAATCGCCCCAGTATCCCCCTCAGAGACCCCCAATATCT